TCACCATTAAATTGTGAGTGTCTTAAAAGCTTCTGTGATAATGTTTCCCGTGTATCAGTTTAGCAAACTAATACAATATTAATAGGAGAATTTAATTTATCCAATATAAGGTAGACTGAACAAACTAGTCAAAAATATCTTATTCCTGTTAGTAATAGTGGCAAGATGAACGAATATTTTATAGATTTCATAGCTGAAAATCGTCTTTACCAGTTTAATCAAGTCCGAAATCCTTTTAACAAAACTCTTGACCTAATATTAAGTAATAAAGAAAGTACATTTATAATCAACGAAGTTAAAGAAAGTCCCTTAAGCCATATAGACAGACATCACCCACCCCTAGAAATCAATATAAATTTTACTCCAGTTTCACACCTAGAAATAAACATAAACGAAAGAATGAATTTTTATAATGCAGATTACAGTGTTATTATCGAGGAGATAGAAAAAATATCTTGGAATGAATTTTTTATTACATGTGGTGATGTTGATGAAATGCTAAAAGTCTTTTATTGCAAGCTCCGCGAGATTATAGGTCGGCATATTAGGAAATATAAGAGAGGAAATAGTAAATATCCGCGTTGGTTTTCAAAAGACTTAATAAAAAGATTAAAAGAAAAAAAATAAATACAGAAACTTATAAAATAAGTATAAAAACCCTCTTGATGAAATCTTGATTAATACACTCATGCTAGAAAAATCACATTAAATAAATAAATAAATAAAAATATATATATATATATATATATATATATATATATATATATATATATATATATATATATATATATATATATATTTATTTATTTATTTTAGAAATAAATCAAGTTGTATTCCTTGATATAGGAATATTAGCAAAGAATGCAATGTGTGTAACAGTGCCTTAAAGAATTATCTGTTTAATAGTTAGCAACTGTTTATCACAGACAATGAACACGGCAGCAAGCTACAATGCCGCAGGTCTTGGGTTCGAAACCTAGTAAGAAGTGACACAATTTTTTTTAGTCTGGTTAATATTTCCATGTCTCTACGAATGCATTCCGACCCCCCCCCCCCTCCCGCGAATATATTGCTTTATACAGCACATGGTTAAGGTAGGCTAGAACGATTAAAGTGCCGATTAATAGCCGATTAATACACGATAAATAGAGCATTCAGTCTACTCTGCACTAGATCGGGACCAAAGCTAAGCCGGAGAACGAATGTTAACCACGGTGCGCGTGCTTTCAAAATTTATTTATTTATTTATATAGTAGGAAGTCAACATGATATTGTACAATGAAAAAATGTTTACAAATTTTATAGATTAATCTGAAGTTTAGTACATACCATACTTATAGGCTAACTTAACATGTTAATGTAACATAATAAGTAACGCAGATTATTATTGAAAAAGAAAGAAAGGATAACAAAATGACCTATTGTAATGCATCAAAGAAAAAAAAAACAAAAACTTTTTTTATAAAATAACTCATGAGATTATCTTAATTTTGTTATAAAAATGTTTTTTAATTTTATTTTTAAAAGTGGTATAAGAATCGTTGAATATGTCAAGATCGACTAATTTAGAAATTACATTATAAGTTTTTAAGGTTCTATTAATTGGAGCTGATAGTCCGACATTTGTTCTACAATACCTAGTTTTGAATAAACTATAATTTCTTATTCTAGAATTAGGTCTAGGAATAACATATGATATTTTACCTAAAAAATTATTATTATTATATATGATTTTATATAACAAGCACATGTCCATAAGCGCTCTTCGATCATTAATGAAATCACATTACAATTATCTAGTCTTTCAATGTAAGTTAATTGCCTATGTATTTTGTTATTATTGAAATAAAGGTACTTAAGGAATTTCTTTTGCATTCGTTCTAACCTATTTCTATGTGTTTGATAATGTGGATTCCAGACAGAAGAACAATATTCAAGATTACTAAGAATAAATGAGTTAAAAAGAATTACTTTGGATTTTTTATTTTTAAAAGTTTTAGTTACCCGTTTAATTAATCCTAAAAATTTCAATGATTTTTTTTATAACTTGATCCATATGCGTAGTGAAACTTAATTTACAATCAATTAAAATACCTAAATCACGAATAACATTTGTCTTTTTTTATGACAAAATCATTAATATTATATTCATTAAAAATTGGATGGATTTTTTTACGAAAAGATATTTGGTAACATTTTTCACGATTAAGGATTACATTATTAAGCTCGCACCAGGAGACCAGCCTATTAATATCATTTTGTAGTAAGTCTCCATCATTAACGGTTTTTATTTCTTTATACAACTTTAAATCATCTGCAAAGAGAAGTACATCACAGTTCAGGAAATAATTTACTACATCATTTATAAAAATATTGAGCAGAGTTGGCCCCAAGTGTGAGCCCTGTGGCACATCTGAATATGCTATAAATGCCTCAGATTGAAATCCACTTATTACAACCTTTAGCTTTCGGTTGTGTAAGTAAGAAAATACCCATTTTAAAAAGGAGCTGTGGAATCCATAACATTCAAGCTTTATTAGTATGGAATGATTCACGACGTCAAACGCTTTTGAGAAGTCTGTATAAATTGATTCAACTTGATACATACAAAGATTTGACGCTGTGGACCTTCCTCTCAAAAAGCCATGCTGCCTATCAATTAGTATAGATTTCATGTGGCAATTTATAATTGGACAGATAATAGCCTCAAACACCTTTGGGAATACGGATAGTACTCGTATTGATATGGGCCTGTATTTTGTTATATCAGTCCTATCTCCGCTTTTAAAAACAGGCACAACTCTAGCCTTCTTCCAAGCGATTGGAAAAAACCCTCTTTTAAGGAAGCATTATATATGATACTTAAAGGGCGCGCTAGGGCTGCTGCACATTTCCTAGCAAAGAAAGGCGGTATATTGTCGGGACTAGCACTTTTATTGCTGTCAAGTTTCTTAAGCTTTGATTCTACTTCCTCTACACTTATATGTATATTAGATAATGTTTGATTAATACCAACGCATTCAATGTTAGGAATCTTATTCTCTTTGCCTATAGAATAATTGGAGTATATACTTGAGAAATGTTTTGAAAAGCTATTACATATGTCTGTACCATTGGAAAAAGTTTGTGCATTTAATATCATGTAAGAAGGATATTCACTTTTATTATTTCTAATCTCTTTTAAATATGACCAAAAATATTTTGGATTACTAATTATATTTTCTTCTACATTTTTCTTTTTATATTTCATATTTTTATATTTCAATAATAATGTGCGTTACTTTTTATGTTACATTAACATGTTAAGTTAGCCTATAAGTAAGATATGTACTAAACTTCAGATTAATCTATAAAATTTGTAAACATTTTTTCATTGTACAATATCATGTTGACTTCCTACTATATAAATAAATAAATAAATTTTGAAAGCACGCGCACCGTGGTTAACATTCGTTCTCCGGCTTAGCTTTGGTCCCCATCTAGTGCAGAGTAGACTGAATGCTCTATTTATCGTGTATTAATCGGCACTTTAATCGTTCTAGCCTACCTTAACCATGTGCTGTATAAAGCAATATATTCGCGAGAGGGGGGGGGTCGGAATGCATTCGTAGAGACATGGAAATATTAACCAGACTAAAAAAAATTGTGTCACTTCTTACTAGGTTTCGAACCCAAGACCTGCGGCATTGTAGCTTGCTGCCGTGTTCATTGTCTGTGATAAACAGTTGCTAACTATTAAACAGATAATACTTTAAGGCACTGTTATACACATTGCATTCTTTGCTAATATTCCTATATCAAGGAATACAACTTAATTTATTTCTAAAATAAATAAATATATATCGTCACTGGAAAGGAGAAAGTGCTAAAGCGCCAAAATGGTACTTTTGGAAAATGAGGTTTAAAGTTTTTTATTTTTTATTTTAATTCATATCTTTTTTAGTTATTGTCCGATCTTATTAATCTAAAAATATAACATTACTAAAATTCTATTGTACCAGCACGTACAAAGTGTTTTTGATATTTATCTCTATTTCTCGAAATAGTAGTCGCTTTAGCAAAAGTGCGTTGAGTAATAGGAAAGTATTAGTCAGGGAAAAACTGCTAATCTACCTCAATAGTATGAATCGAATTATTCGAAAAATGCTTATAAATAGTAAAAGCCACTTCTCTTGGAAACGAAAAATGCTTAAGTAACTAAGACCGATAGATCTAGTAAAGAAAAATTGCTAACGATTGCTTATGATGGTAACATGCCGTCAAGAAGAAATGCTAAACAAGCGATACAATACAGAGGCTATGCAATCAAAATTGCTTACGTGCGCTAACTTAACCGAATAAATGCAAGCAAAAATGACTAAAGGTAAATTATTGACCGTTACTTTACTCGATTATACTACTTATCTACGGATGGGTTTTAAGAATTTGTTCGAAATAATTGCTTAATAGGCTCATTATGTGAAAATTTAACTAAATTTTGTAGATACTAAGTAATTGATGTGCGGTAAGAATTTGTCAATATAAAATCTAACTCAATGTCTTGAATGGACTAAACTGAAAACCTCTTAGAATGTACCAAATCTGTTGTTGTTTGCATTAGAAATAAAACCATTGCATTTAAAAATCTATCAGTTTTATTTATTTATTTTTAATATTTTTCCAAACATTGTTGTGACTTGCTAATAAGTAGTCTTACCATAATTTTTGAAAAACATAGGTCCATAATCAACAAAAAAAACTTAATATTAAACATACTTAAATGTTAAGTAAGCAAAAAAAAGGAACGTAAAAATAAAACTTCAGTATTATCAATTCTTGACTTATTCCAATAAGTTTTTATTATCCTGAATCACAAGGGTAAGTCTGACGTTTGACCTAACGTATTTATAAATCTTAGAACAAAAAGAAATATAAACAAATAACAATAAGCAAATCTAATTTGGGACTTTTGAGATCAGCGTTTTAAAGATTAACCTTAAATCTATCAGTCTTGAATGTCTTCAATGTCTGTTATCTGCCAAAAAATCTTGAACATTTACTGCATGAGGTAAAGACTTATATTCTGCAACATACATTGCTGGTATAGTTTTATTGTTACATAATTTTTCCAAATCGGAATATTTTTTCTTTGAAATAGGCAATTTCGATTTGTAAATTAACTTTGGAATTAATTCACCTTTGCCTATAACCTCGATCTTTTCAGATTCAGCTTCAACTTTCATGGAATATTTGACTTCGATATGGTGCGGATTAGCTTTCTTGAATGTAGTAGTGCGAATCCTGCTTATTTTACCTGCAAGATTGCCTTTGAAGTATCTGTCTAAAATTGTATCCCAGCCCTCAAAATCTTTGTGAGATAGAACTTCAACTTCGTATGGTTTAGGAACTTTTCTTGCTAGAGCACATATGGTTGGCCACTGAGACGGTGCCCATACAATGTTGTTTGTCACACTTTTCTCAATGACTGAGTGCATGGAATCCACAGGCATGTATGTGTGTCCCGGTAGAAGGTAATTCATTTGAATGGTTGATATATTCTTGCATTTTTGCAAAGATTTATGGATGCAGGCCAGAACAATTTTATTTTTATTTTGCCCTGGGCAGGAATCGCAATATAAAAGTAAATGTTTTATAGATCCACGTTCGTCCACCTTTTCAATGTATTTAACCAGAATGGTACAAATTTCATTCGCACCACGTTTGCCTTCGACTTCATTCCACAAGAAACAGAACCCTTCTCGTGTGACGGACTCGTAAAATGTCAAATTATATGTAGCGATCTTTCTGCTGTAATAAAGTAACATGCTGTCTCCATATGGAGTATTCAGCACCTTTTGGAGATCGAACGTAGTACAGAGTATACTACTATCGTGTTTGCGAAGGTCTTGATGTGTTTGAAATCTCGAATATGTTTCTTCTTTATCTGACATATGTTTTTCTTTTTTTTCCTGATATTCTCCGGGGCTATTTTCGTATTTAATACATTTTACACATTTGTCTTTTCGGGGTACATGGAAAGAAATGTTAAATTCTGTCGAAAATATGTTTTTAAAAACTTTTTCACCTACAAAATTCTCCCCTTCATTCATGTTCTTTTGTTTATAAATTTTGTATAAATTGGAAAGGCTTCTATATTCTTGCGGCAAATAACATTTTTTTTGAGTTTTTCCTGCAGTAGTGTGAGGGAACTGCTGGTAAACCACTAATATAGTCTCTCACGGATTGCAACAAGGCCGGGGGGCGTTTTGTTTGCAGGAACTCCTCTGCCTCTGTTGTCTGTTTTAGAACACCCTTCAACTGAAGAACTGATAACTTGATGTAGAAATCTTTGGCCAATATTTAAGGTATTTATAAGGAATCTCAAACAAACAGGTCTTTGGCCTTCTCCTTGGTTAATGAAATATGTATATGTAAATTGCCTTCGGCTCTCTATATCTTTGGTTCTTCTTCGTTTCACAATTTCTTTTTTTAGCATGACTTACAATCCAGTCACGCTTTCTTTCCGCACTTAATGATCAATAATGATCAAAAATACCTTTTCGTCTATCTTCAGATATATCGTAACATTTATTAATACAGTTTACTGGATTGCAAGGATTTGCTTGCATAGATTTTGCCTCAACTACTCTTCCAGTTTTTGAGACATACTCTTCCAGCTTTCCTTAAATTTGATCTTTCTTTATCTTTATTAATTCGTTTGGTTCTTTTTCTAAAATCTGCATAAGATTCATTTTCTCTATTGTTTTCTTCAGTCTTTTTCTATTGCTCTGAGTCAGATTCATCTTTGTTCGAAGCTAAGTGGTCAGTTTTCTTCTTGTTTATTTTTCTGCTACGTTTTTTTGATTTCTTGCCTTGTCTTTTACTGTTTTTATTTTTCTTCTGTTTTTTCTTTCTTCTATCATTATTGGATGTATCTGACTCCGTATCGTCTGATACTTCCCATGAAGAAGAAGTCAGTGTAAATTCTTCTTCGTCAGAAATGAAGTCAACATGTTTGAGAATTAATCTTTTATTTTTTTCAGGTTTCTCTTTTATATATCCAGGTTTGACCTTCCTCCTTTCAAGTTTTCCTTTACTAGTTCCAGGCATTTCGTTGTCAACAATATTCTCAAAGTTCTTGCTTTTTTCTTTTTCAAACTGATTAACTGTTTGTTCTTCCAATTCAATCGTGATTTTGCAACTGTCATCAGATATAATTTGTTGTACACAAACTTCAATCTCCTCTTCTCGAGACATAGAACGTAACTGAGAAGCCGAAGAAACTTTATTATACATAGCATGAGAGATACTCGTTGTGGAGGCTGAATCTAGAAGTTCAGGATCTGGGGTGTACTGTGCATTCATCTGGTGGGAGACGGCGTTATCATAACATGTAGATTTTAGATCATGATTCGGGGTGTGCGAAGCGCTCATTGCGTGGGAAGCGTGGTTATCTGCAGTAGATTGAAGGAGTGCAGATGCCGAGATATGCGAAGCTCTCGTCGCGGAGGAGATGATGTCATCACAGGTAAGGGGACGCATCGCGTGGGAAGCGTCGTTGCTATAACTAGATTCCAGGAGACCAGGAGTTGAGGTATGCGAAGCGCTAGGGGCGTGGGAGGCGTCGTCGTCATCGGTAAGTTGCTGGAGCCTGCTCGTTGTGGAGGTAGAATCTAGGAGCTCAGGATCTGGGGTGTACTGTGCATTCATCTGATGGGAGGCGGCGTTATCATAACATGTAGATTTTAGATCATGATTCGGGGTATGCGAAAAGCTCATTGCGTGGGAAGCGTGGTTATCTGCAATAGATTGAAGGAGTGCAGAAGCCGAGGTATGCGAAGCTCTCGTCGCGGAGGAGTCATCATAGGTAAGGCAACGCATCGCGTGGGAAGCGTCGTTGCTATAACTAGATTCCAGGAGACCAGTAGTCGAGGTGTGCAAAGCGCTTGGAACGTGGGAGGCGTCGTCATCATCGGTAAGTTGCTGGAGCCTGCTCGTTGTGAAGGTAGAATCTAGGAGCTCAGGATCTGGGGTGTACTGTGCATTCATCTGGTGGGAGGCGGCGTTATCATAACATGTAGATTTTAGATCATGATTGGGGGTATGCGAAGCGCTCATTGCGTGGGAAGCGTGGTTATCTGCAGTAGATTGAAGGAGTGCAGAAGCCGAGGTATGCGTAGCTCTCGTCGCAGAGGAGTCATCATAGGTAAGGGAACGCATCGCGTGGGAGGCGTCGTTGCTATAACTAGATTCCAGGAGACCAGGAGTCGAGGTGTGCGAAGCGCTTGGGGAGTGGGAGGCGTCGTCATTATCGGTAAGTTGCTGGAGTTTATGAGTCGAGGTGTTTTCTGCTGAGACAGACATGTAAGTATTACCCTGTATAGCTTTATAATCCGTTGTATTTGCTCGCCGTAGCTTTGTTACAAAATCAGTATTGTCTGGTTGCCCCCGTTTTCTACTGGTATCCTGTTGCTGAGCTTGGCGTACGTACTGTTTAATGTAATTTTTGCGTTTGCTTTCCATGACCTACAACAAAAGACATGAGCCGTTACTGTATTTCAATTAAGTTATGATATAACCCACGATAAGTAGGGTGAAATGCAATTTTTATGAAGAGCCCACCCTCCCATTATAGTAGTGCCGCACAGAACTTTCTAAACAGTACTGCATGGCACTGTTAAGCTTATCACCAGAAGACTTAAGTCGGTAATTTCACTGGTGTTATACCTTATTCATGTGAACAGTCTCAATTAAATATTTTGGTTAATCTATAACTTAGGCACCAATTATGTCAAAACTACTCATCACTCTAACCAAACATAACCAAAAAATCTTAACTGTACAATACTTTTGCTTAACACTACAATAATACAAAAAAGTATAAACATACCTTTTTATATTCCAAAATCAAGATCCCAACAATAACACTTAACGCACTTACTTACACGTCACAATAAACATAAACAGTACCTATAAATTTCTTTACGAACACCGTCACTAGCGTAGACTAACTAATACTACTGATGTTAGGTGATTACCTACAACTAGCGGGCGCGCGCGAATCCAGAAACGATGTGTTCCGACAGGACGTGTGCTTACAATCACACGCATATTATAAATATTATGTGCCTAACCGCTATTTACACTACAGTCTCCCAATAGATAATAGTACTAACGTACTACAGTGGTCATCAGTTTAAAACATAGCATATCGCTAAAACGATTCATACTTTTAGGAAAATGCCTTCCTTATTCTAATAGAAATGTTATTACTTAATTGTCACAACTTTATTTTCTCTAACAGAATGAAATTTAAAAAAATATATTTAGCAAAAATTGCTAAAGCGCCAACCATACTTAAATCTTATGCTTACAGTTTTTCTTAAGCACCAAACAGTTAAAAACAACAGTAATGAATAATAGCTAACAGAATATGAAATAATACAATTCTAAAATTTAATATTGCTAATGTAACAATGTCATTCAAATTAAGAAAAGAAAAAATACTTATGTTGCTATTGTGAAGAGAATGTAGTAAGGAATAACGTTCTAACGGATCTCTTTACTGAAAATGTGTTTCTAAAGCTACGTCTATTTCAAAAACAGGGGAAAATCGTCGCTTTAGATCTTGGAATTCGGAACATCCCTCAATTTTTACAAATGCTAAAACGCCAAAAAACTTGCTCTGATTCACTTGAAACCTACACAGATCGACGTGGAAAAAAAAAAGCAATCCAACAATATAATTAACTCATTTTGGCTCAAATGGCGCTTTAGCATTTTCTCCTTTCCAGTGACGATATATATATATATATATATATATATATATATATATATATATATATATATATATATATAGTTAGATAGTTAAATAAATAAATAAATAAATAAATAAATATATATATATATATATATATATATATATATATATATATATATATATATATATATATATTTATTTATTTATTTATTTATACCCTCGTCTGTCCAAACGCCATATTCTTGCGTCTCAAATAATATGCGCATCTGTCAAACGCCATAATATGACGTCGAGTGATAGCGAACTATTTGTAACATATATATGATATATATATATATATATATTATAACATACATATACATAACATATATATCTGTTATGCATAATCTGATAGCTTATTTAAAGGTCTATGGGATACAGACATACATAAAATAAAATAAAATATAAGTGCCTCGCCTGTTTCATTAGGATTTGCTATAATTCACACGCTGGGCAGGAGGATTGGCCATCGCAATACCGGACGTTTGGTGTACATTATTATCAAAACTACGCTGCAGTGTAATATGACTGTAATACGAATGCGTCGGCTCCACTTTGAAGAACCAAGCTTTCACAAAATAAACCTGTTATTCAGGCACCGCACACCCGTTTTCTGAAAACGGGGTATCCCATTTTAATCTTAAAAGAAAACACATCTGCATTTTGATTGCTAATTGAAGATAATTTTACGTATCTATGGGATACAGCACTCACTGATAATCTTGGGCATGCGTCGCATTTTAAAAAAAAAATAAAAAATTGAGGACGTGGAGGCAATTTAGCTAATATTGTAGTACAAAGAGTGTAAAATATATAGTATAATACAGGTAGTAAAATTAAAAAAATTGTACAACCGGCTTCAATATATATAGATAAAATGCGAACATCATCAATATATTCGAAGTCAATTAAATACAAATTATTTAAAAAACTCAATAAGTCAAAAACTGGTCAGATGTTGATCAAATTTATATGGTACTACACGAAAAGCACCAGCTTTCAAATAAAGATCATCAAAATCAGTTCACGCAGAAAAAGTTCTGAGGTAACACACACACATAAAAAAACACAGTAGAATTGAGTCCTTTTGAAAGTCGGTTGAAAAGCTTCATAGATCTAGAGATCTGACTTTTAAACTCTCTATCTAAATCATTCCTAATTTATGGTACATAATATGTATATAACAAAATATTTGTTTTTGGTGGGACCCCTGTTTTGCCCGGGAGTTCGTCTGGGTCCGACTCTTACCTATTCCTGCCGTCAAGTAGCAATTCCTGACTGCTGTGTTCCGATCTAAAGCCAGTCTACTAACAGGTAGCGAGGTATATATATAGTCATCTTGGTCCTCATAGATGACAAAACTTTCCTTCTTTGATCGCAAATGTCCTTGGGCTACAGAAGCCACCTATTATCCGGTGGATTTTTAGTACATTTTTGCCGTCACATTATGCGTAAAAAAAATAAAAGTCTGTAATCTTTAAATTTACGTATACCTTTATTTTAAAATTATGGGTTTATTTTTAGTTTAAAATTAAATCTGTCAGGCCGATATAAGAACGTTAATCGTTAAATAGCAATTTCAGGGTGGATTGAATTTTGAGTGTGCCCGTTATGTACTTAATTTATAAACCGTTGAGTGATTGCATAAATATTTTATGTTCTTTCATTGCCGAGTTGAAACTTTTACACATCGCTGTAATTACACTTAAATTTGTAGTAATACGATTCAATATTTATGACAATAAGACTAAAGAAAATGAAACGTATGTATTAATTATTCAGAATTTTAGATAATAAGACTCAAATTTAGTTCCAGCAGTCATAATGTTTTTAACTTATTCTTAAAGAAGAACTTTACAAATATATACTATATAATAAGTTTGGTTTTTGGTTTTTTCTTAAGATATTTTTCGATTACAAAAAATCTTATATGCATATAGTGAATACATTTTATAAATAAAAAAATCTGGATTTGTGGCAAAATATCCAAAGTTGTGGTGTGTAAAAAAAATAAAAAATAGGTGTGACTAATATATTTTTAAAATACGAGAAAAACAACTAAAACAAAACAGAATAGCTAAATAACAAACGAAAACGTGAAGTAATTTAAAGGGTAAAAATTCAACTGGTAAAATGGAAGCTACAAAAGCGCCAAACTCGTTACGTTAATTCAATTCGAAATGTTAACGAATGCCGCAGAAATAGTGCAGTGAGCTTTTAGTCCCAATTAATGTGCATATAACCATATATTCCCATATAAACGTAATAAATTGCGACTAAATAGAATTCGAGATTACACGAAATAATTGTGAAAATTCGTTTGTTACAATTATTTAGTAAAACACACCTCTTTCCGTGTTGTGGTGCCGTAACCTCTGTTAGTTCTATTCATTGCGTAGGTGTCTTATAATGCGACTATGAAAAAGGTTTAATGACGTCATGGGTCGGTAGAAAATCTTGTATATGCTAGATGTCTTCATGTAAAAGAGACGGTGAGAAGCTTAAATCCGATTAATTTGAACTGATACGGCTTGGATTATAAACGCAAAGAAGCAAGAAAGTTTCACAAGTAGAAGCGATCTCTAAGGTGAGGATTGTTTTAACAATATTATTTTTAAGGTTAATGTTTTTGTTAAATGTGCATGAGGATCTGGAGGCAAATAATACAAATATCTAATGAATTTGTAATCAGAATTTATAGTAAGATATTTTTAATAATCCTCTCTTATCCTTTCACTTTATTGATCATTCTATTGTACTACAACTTTTCTTGAAAATAAAGTAAATAAATAAACAGCGAGACAGCGGTTAGTTACCGCAGAGACTACTTCACCTGCGGTCTATTATCGACGGTGATGGGTCTTTTCTAGTGTAGTAGTGTTGGGTGTAATGGTGACGGCATGATTATTGATGACAGAGATAGTGCGATTAAGGGAGAGTGTGAGGTGCTTCTCAAACAAGTTAAGACTTTTATTTAATAACGTGGATCTTATATAAATAATTTTTAAATAATCTTTAATAAATAAATACACCATAAGCCCTTAAGAGCTTACCGCTGTACTTGGTTTTCTGCGATAATTTATATTCTTGGCTTAAAGACAGTGACACTGTTTTTCGACGCCGGTATAATTATTTTACTTCTGCTAGGAAACCTTGAGGTTTTCTTTTCAGTATTGCTTCCTAAAACTTGCTTTCTCCTATAATGTCCTCTTACGTTACCCTCGGGAAATAAATGAGTAATAGATTTTCTTAAGCAGGCACTAATCACACCACCTCAACACAACAAGACAATACAGCAAGTCACCTCTTTCATTTCAAAATGCAACTACCTTAGTACATATCAGTCTTGCTTTCACCTAGGACATAGTACCACCACAGCGTTAGTTCAAGTTACAGAAGATTTTAGAGACGGCATGCCGAGGTCATGTTTGACTGTTCTTGTCCTTATTGACTTTTCAAACGCTTACAATTGTGTCGATCATGACTTATTCCTTGAATTACTTTTACGTCTAAATTTCTCCTCGTCAGCATTGGACTGGTTTTCGTCTTATCTTCGCGTTTGCAAGCAGGCTGTAAGTTCTGATCAGGATTTTTCCGATACTGGTGTGATCTGTCTCTAGGTGTACCACGAGGCGGCATTCTTTTTCCTCTCTTGTTTTTGGTGTTTATTAATCCTTATAACTACCCACCTTCAATGTTCTTACCACATCTATGCTGACGATCTCCAGTTATATTCACAAGCGTCCTCGACTGAAATTGATACAGCTATTGCAGCTGTATATATATATATATATATTGTATAAATAACTCTATATATCTCTCTCGGTTAGACCAATTGGTCCTATTGATACGTATTTGTTAAAATTTGCCGATATGATTCTAGATTTTTCCTTCATAATCTTGTGTAACAGTAATGTAAACTTATTCAGTGCTAATT